ACACACACACACACACACACACACACACACACACATACACACTACATACATACACACCTCTACACTTACACTAACGCTTCTCTTCCCCCTTTCTATGTTTCTAATTAATTGGGTTTTTTCCTTATTCTTGACAAACTGCAAAAGGGCAGCATGGGTGTAATGATTACGCTCTTTACCATTGATAGCAGAAAACATTCCATCACCGCATGGAGGATTTTTTTTAATTGAGCGGAAATAATCTAAGTTTTGTGGATGGGAATGTGAAACATTTACAATCTTGTTATAATCACTAACAGGGTCGAAGATTGCCAGTGCCCCCGGCCACTCTCAACGAATTTTCCGCGCTGAGTTCCGGCCAGACTCTGACACCCAGTTTGTCAGTGTAGGTGTGAAGCACGTCAAGTTCTGGTCGGTGGCCGGCAGTCAGTTGATCGGCAAGAGAGGAATCATCACCACCATAGAAAACGTCGGACCTGTGAAGATGCAGACCATGTTGTCCTTGGCTTTTGGAGCGGTCAGTACCTTCTCTCAGTATTTTGGGAACAGTTATGAATACACCTTGGTGATCTTCTCTCTTGGTTTTATTAATTCTTTAAACCCCATCGGACACTGGGAGCATCCGACAGTAACAACCTTGTTCCCCATAGGGCACGGGGAGCGTCCGATACTAGTGACAACTGTTCCGTTTCATTTAGTTCTAGTTATTGCTTGTTTTTCAGAATTATTCCCTAACCGAGTTTGTAAAAAAGTAATAACTTAACCTTTGTTTTGACCATTTAGAAGTTGGAGGCAAGCTTTTGGGCTTAAAATGTTAAAGAGATAAGGAAAGAGCATTAGTACTTCCTTAATTGTATCTTTTCTCTGTATTTTAGGAAAAGTGAAGGCCAGATCCTGAGGATATCTTCTTCCTGTTTTGGGGAAAATCATAAAGACACCCTGTAGGATGAACATTTTGTGTGTCTAATTGCGAATACTAATTTGAACTGCTGGGTACTGGGAAAAGACCAGGAAAATATCAGGGATTTTTTAGAGCTTTGAGGAGAGAAATGAGTTGTGAACCATGATTTCCATTGTCACTTTCAGATCTGGCTCTTAAAAAAGAATTTGTTTTCTCTTTGACATTTCGGTGATAAGGATAAGAACTTCATCTTTACAGATGTTCACTTCAAGAGAAGCGACTGTTTTATAATTTTTCCTGTGTTTGTGTTAGAAAAATGTGCTTTCCTTAGCATTGGCTTCGCTTGTTTTTCTTTATCCTGTAATGAACAGGGGTACTTAAAACCTAATATGGTACAAATAACTGCTATCTTTCTGTACATTTGAAACAGACATAATATGATCTTAAAATTGCATATATAATTAGCAGTTATTTTTAAATCAAGGCTTTATTGGCCTTCAACAGTTTCATGTTTCTTTAGAGCCTTCATATTGTCTTTGACAAAGATCAGGAGATTGAATGATCTGGGTGTTATTAAGGGGTCAAAAATGGAAATGTTACTAAAATTGCAAACATATTGTTCAAATCCCCAACCGACAGTTTCAAAGTTTAATTTGATCCAGTTTGGACAAAAATAGTTTTAAGATTAGAGTTGAACAAAAAATTAAAATGCAGTCTATTACAGGTCCACCGTTGGTTTGTAGATGACGGCTTTTGAGTTATTTGTTTTCTTGGTGTACCTTGTCAAGGTTTGTGCCTGCTCCTTCTCCACAGAACAATGTAACCTATACAGGAGCACTGAGTGGTGATGTGTATGTCTGGCAAGATTCGAACCTCACTCGAGTGGTCCAGAAGGCTCACACCGGTCCTGTGTTTGCCATGTTCACCACTCTGAGGGACGGACTTATTGTTACAGGAGGAAAAGAGTTGCCGTGAGTCTTTTTCTAAACTCATTTTCAAGAAACGCACCAATTGGCTTGTGTTCCTATTAACACATTACACCCTAAGGGTCTGGACGGGAAGTCCATTGTTAGATCCTAAGCAAGGGGAAGGAACCCACCTCCTGTGAATACAAGCCTTTAAAAAACACTTTAAAAAAAATGCTAAACAAATTTTAAAAAATCCTGAAAAAATAAACGTTAAAACGAAAAATGAATGTAGTTTCAGAGAAATATAGCTTTATGTATGCGCAAACTGTTGGAAATGGTCTAACTTTAGTTCAATCGGGGTGTCCAACCCGTCACTCTAACTCTCACAGCCTTGCGGTCGGGCCCAAGATCTAAATTCTAGATTTTCTTCGTCTGATCAATCTGAATCGCCCCAAACTCTTGCTACAACGTTTTCATCAAAATCTGAGTCATCTGAATTGTCATATTCTTGTTTTTGCTGAAATCCATCGTTATTTCCTTTTTCGAACTCAATTGTGTCGATTTTCAACAAGTCGAGACACTTTCGAAATGTCGGTAACACGATCGCACTTCGTTCGGCTCTAATACTAAAACTACTGGCCCGAAAAATTTCATTTCGGTATCAAATGAAAGAAGAAACTTTTTGCAATAATTATGCAAATCAAAATCTTGGCCCCAGAGTCTCATCAAGGCGAGACTTTGTTTCTAAAGACGCTAGGTCGGCGCGGGCGGTTCCGGGCGAGTCAGGGTGGAGCGCGTAAGGGAATTCCCGGGTGGTCCCGGGCGAGCTAGGGTGTAATGTGTTAAGAGAGTACTGTATTTGGTTTGGTGAATTGCAGTTGAGACAGGCAAGGTGTATCAAATAACTTGCTGAAAAAAAAAGAAGACAAGCTGACAAAACAGCTTTTCAGTCGGTCAATCTTACGTTGTATTAAACTCTCTTTTAAGTGTGCTTGGTGTGTATGAGCAAGAAATAACGGTAGGAATATTGCTGGTAATGTTTAGCTTCAACAGTTTTTTTCAAGTCCTTTTTATTTCTTATAAGAAGACATCAATTTTGTTTTACCCAGTACACACCCCCCCTCCCCCCTTTCTCTTTTGTGTCTCTAGATCCAAAGAAAATGGGCCTGTTAAGCTGTGGGACCAGGAAATGAAGAGATGTCGTGCATTCCCTGTGAGAGAAAACGGAACTACGGCTGATGTGGTCAAGTCTGTGTTCAGAGCTAAGGTATTTTATTGTTTTTTTATGCCCAGTTTATTGGATACCTTTGCTCCACCATCATTTATGTGTTATTTGTTAGAAGTCTCAAGTCATGCACAGCATTTGGTTTATTCCAGTAACTTTAAGAGTCCTTTTTTATTTTGAAATGTGATCTAATCTTCACTTTTTTGTTGGTTATGATTTCAATCCTCTATGAAACGATTATTCCTGTTTGAAGTTCAGGCAAGTCTTTTTAATAACAAGTTATTCTCTTGTCTCAGAAAGATCATTTCAGGAGTGGGTTTTTTTTTCTTTCTTTTTTTTTTTAGGCGTTCTTTTAGATACCTTGCTATTTCGGACTGAATAACCACAGCTGTTTAAATACTCTTTGGTCAGTCTAAAAGGAATTATGTTGTTATATTCTACAGGGCAAAATTCTGATTGGTTCCAAAGACAACAGTGTGATGGAGATATCAGAGAAAAGTGGCACTGTGAATGTGGTAGTGGCTGGTCACAGTGAGGGAGAAGTCTGGGGTCTGGACCGTCACCCAACAAGTGCCAAGTTCATCACGTCCAGCTACGACGGCACGGTCAGGTTGTGGGACATTCCTTCCAAGGTGAGCTGACCTCTTTGAGATAGTGCTCAGTGCTGTGTAATGCTCATGGCACCCTGTTCTGAATGCTCTTGTTTGAAGTATTTTAGAAAAATCCTTGTGGGTGGTGGGCAGAGTGCTCATGGCAACCTTTTCTGAATGCTCTTGTTTGAAGTATTTTAGAAAAATCCTTGTGGGTGGTTGGCAGCTGGTTTGCTCCTTCTTTCCTATCAAACAACTGTCATCCTTATTTCTCCTCCTTCTTTTCTTTGTATGTTACTCTCTAGTTACACATCTAATCTTCAGCACTTTTGTGACCTATTTAGGCTGCACGTGCTGTGAAACTCTAACTTAAACTGTAAATCTTTGTCTCCGAGGGGTTACAGACCGAAGGGCTAGAACCCAAATGGCCGCTGGATCGGAAAAGTAAAGTAAAGTAAAGTAAGTCTCCGAGGGGTGTGAACCCACTACGCCAGGGCCCTTTTTTGGTACTTAATCTAAAAATGATAAAAGGGCCACTAAATTCGTCATTAAATCAAAGCAAGTGAACCTATTTTGATAGTCCTTCATCTAATGAATGAACTCCCAATAAAAGAGTCCTGTATCCGGCAATCGCCGAAAAGTAATTTGATATCAAAGTCGACATAAAGGAATGTGCCTGAGCCGCCGCCAGCAGCTTGCTGGCTCAACTTTTGGAAATGTGAGCCATGGTACTGAGAGCGGCTTGTCAGAGATAATGAGTTAAAAAATCCTTAATTACTGAGCTCCACTTAAAATTTTTTTTGGTGCTCTAAAAGTTGGAAAAAGTAAAGGTGTTATTGTTAGACATGTTTGATGTGGACTGTTGCAATACCTGTCAGCAAGAAACACTCTAAGGCATCTTAAATGAGATGAGGGAAGATCTACATCCCATATAATAGTAAGATGATAAAAAAAACTAAAAAGCATTTGTATTGCACATATTCCTTCTCATCACCAAGCTCTATGCACTTTACATTCCTTATTATTACCCCAACAGACTGCAGAACACTCACAACCATTCTTGGCTTCCCAGGAAGCAAACAGTGTAAGCAGCCAATTAAAGGCCCAAACCCCAACAAACTGACAAGGTCTTTCGCTGTCTGTTGATGGGTACCCATTTCCACCTGAATAAAGTGAAAGTTCATATGTTCGTTTTAAGCACAAGGGGGCTATCCCGAAAAATGCTGTTTTGAGAAAATCAAAGGAAAGTTTTTCCCCCTCGTTCAGTTTCTTTAAAAGACAAGGAGAGTTTTCTCTATTACCAAACAAATATACACACCAATGAAACCAAACTTCTCTTATAGGTAGGGCAATACCCACTTTTGGTGTAGGTCAAGATTTTTGGAAACCCCCAAATTCTGGGTTAGCCCACTTGTCCTTAAAAGCGACCATATAAAGTGTTTCTCCCAAGGACACAACATGGGGCCTGTGATGGGGTTCGAACCCACAACTGAACCCAACAGCCAAATCACTAGACCACTGACAACTCAAGAGACTCTCAAACCATGTAATGGTTTTTATAAAAAAGTGATTTTTGATTCTTTTACACTGTATGTTTGAGTTCAGTCATTGAAACAATGTTAGCATTAGACACCAAGGAGACGAAGTTAACGAGGTACATTAACAGTTTTAAAATATATATTTTTATTCATAACATACTTAAAGGTCACCAAAACATACCAGAATCAGAATTTATCATCATCATCATTATCATTCGCCTATTTCATCCTGGTATTAGGTATAGGCTGCCATGAAGAGCTCTCCACCTGTCTCTGTTTTGGACAATCTTCTCCACCTTCAGCCAGCATTACTTACCCATACTCTAGTTGATACAACGTTCAGCCTTAGAGCATTTGGTATGATTTTCTGCTTTTGTTTCAGTCTCTGGTGGCCAAACTTGACGTGACTCCCGCTCGCTCTGTGACATTCAGCCCCGACGGTGAGCTTATCGCTGTCGGCCTCAAAACTGGAGAGTTCTTGTTGTTGTCTACCACTGGTCTCAAGCTGTGGGGCAGGAAGCGAGACAGAGCCGGATCTATCAATGATATACAGTGAGAATTTTCCCTTTTTCTCTTTCTTCCTATCTCTCTCTCTTTCTTTCTATCTGTCTCTCTGTGTGTCTCTCTCTCTGTGTGTGTCTCTCTCTGTGTCTCTCTGTTTTACTCTCTCTCTCTCTCTGTCTCTCTGTCTCTCTGTCTCTCTCTCTGTGTCTCTCTTTCTCTGTCTCTGCCTCTGTCTCTCTCTCTCTCTCTCTCTCTCTCTCTCTCTCTCTCTCTCTCGCTCTCTTTTACTCTTATTATTTTTCTCACCGTCTCTCTCTTTCTATCGCAGTAAGATTTGGTTCAAGCTTTTTCTTTTGCTCTTCCACTCTCTCTATTTTTCTGCTTGCTCTACTGTGCGAGAATACATACTTATCTTAATCTTTTCTGACACTTGTTAGGGCTTGACCATGTGAAAGTTGTTGATCTATCAACTAGAAAAATAAAAGTGGCAACTCGGCATATCATGAAAGCTTCTGTTAGATGATTTATAGTTATAGTGAAATTGAAGCTATTCTTGTGTTTGTATGTATTGTTTTCTAAATTTTTATTAACTTCGTACGCAACCCTTTTTTCCTTGTTTTTTAAAGTAGATCTATATGTGGTAGTGAATATCAAACTAATCACTTCTTTGAGAAATATAAAGATCCTCTTTATGTTTTACTTATTTACGTCTCTTATAATGGAGGTATCTTGTTAAAAATACAAATGTGACTGCTATTTTACAGAGGAACATGGCTAATTTAGTCTGAGTCATCGCACCATTTAGGTTTGTAAGCAGGAGATAGGAATGCCTTTTATCAGTGCAGGTAAACTTTTGTTTTTTATCCCCAATCTTTTGAGCAGTGACATGTGACCAGATTGAGGGTTAACTTTGTTTCACGGTGCTTTTTTTGTCCAAAAGTATTGTTTTATCCAAGTTTGAAATTATGTCATACATTTTTATGCTTAGTATGTAGTTTTGCTCCATTCCACTGAATTTGTCTTAACTGATTTTTCATCAACATTCTTCTTATAAAACAAATGGGTATTTGTATTTACTGATTATGGCTGTCTTTTATATATAGCTTTAGTCCAGATGGAAAGATTCTGGCTGTGGGCTCGGAGGATCAGTATGTTGACTTTTATGACCTGACCAAAGGACCAAGCCTCCCCCGCTCTGGGTTCTGTAATGGCATTGCAAGTTTCATCATCAACATGGATTTCTCCGCTGACAGTAAACATATCAGGGTGAATATAGATCTTTGTTTGTGTGAGACAGTGATGAACACGTAACAAGTCTAGCACAAGGAAAAGGATAATGCTTAAATTCTCCTTATTATGAAAAATCAAATTAATAAAAACTGAGTGAACTGATAAGATTGTCCTTCCATTTGCTGTACAGCAAAGTCATTTGTTCACATTTGTATTGTTGCTGATTCGTCTTTCCCTCTTACAGAAGCTGAAATGACCATTCTCCTAGGAGCAGACTACTTTTGTTTTGTTTATATTGCAGTATAAAACAAGGGCTTATATGACAGCATAACCGAGTCAATATTTTGCTCAAGTCTTTCTGTTCAAAGATTTAACACTTTCCCTACCGCGAGCCGAATTTTGCGGCTCACGGACGTGGCCTCGCTAGACTGAGGGCGGCAAAATATGGCTCATGTGGCTCGCTATCTATTCCAATCCAGTAATGAAAAGACATGAAATTCTTCGCCGATCTACATTTTCAAAAAAATAGAATAGACTTCCTGTTAGTAGATAGGAAAGAAAATATAGCACCGAGAGATGATTTTTAGTCATTTCAGTGCTTTTTTTTGTCCCGTTCGACAAGTAAAAATGAGAAAAAAAAGCGCTCCCCTAACTTCAGTATATGTCTCATATTTTCACTTCTATATTAGGTACACATACATAACTTTCAGTATTTCTTTGCATTGCTTGAGGCAACCTACCTATGAAGTTTGAATGATGCTGTTGTTGTACTTTTTTAGATATGACCTCTCAAGGCTGGAAAATTGTTGATTTCATATGACACCTTCGATATTGCATAATCATTTTTAGAAACCCCAAACTAATATAATTGGAATAAATCTTCAATACTGTATCACCATCTGATAGATTATTTTTTAACCTTCAGTTTGATGGGCCGTATGATATGGTTTGTGTGTGTTCAGTTTGATGTTTTAACATTTTCCTGTGGTGGGTAGGGGGGTAAAAATAGGTCAGGGAAAAGCCCTGGGCCAGTGAGTGGTGGATTTTGGCCTGGTAGGAAAAGAGTTAAGTGTGTGCTTATGCACTTTTTTGTCACTGTGAATAAAATACATCATTAGTATCAGACAAAAAAGACTACTATGATTGATTGATAAATCATTTGGCACTAGATAATGTATTTTAGTAGAACATTTGGGCTGGTTTTATTTGGGCTTTTTATGTAGGACATGCATTATCAAAGCATGGTTTAAAAGTATTTCTTTGATATTTTGTTTGGAAAGCGAAAATAATTTGTTTTAAAGTTTGAAATTCTCCTGGTCAAAAAGATGTGTTGATCAGTATGCAGTTTTGTCAACTCTGTAAATGCGAATGTGTAAATGAATCATTTCCTCAAGACTAAGAGCCCAGACATTGTTCTTGTAGGTGTGCACTGGAGCATATGTGAACCAAGTTTACACAGTTCCTCAAGGAGGCTTGGTTGAGGATGAAGGTGTCACAGAGAAGATCACCTGGGCCTCCTGGACAAGGTGGGTCTTGTTCTTTTGGTACAGAAAATCTGGAATCTGTTTTAGAATATTTTCTAGCCTGGCGACCCAGAAAGACTCTTCACAAGTATCTGTTTTGGGTATAGATTGTCACTGTCATAACACAAATGCCTTTAGAGTCCTGTTGTTTTGAAAATGAAAAAATAACCCCAATAGTGTTTATCTATGTCTTTAGCCACTGTGAAAATTTCAAAATAATTAGATTTTACCATATAAAACAGTGCTATGTCGAGGATTTTATTCAAGTGGCAGATATTTTGCCAATAACTTTAAGTCTGAAAAAAAAAAGACTTTGCAATTTGAATCATAACTGTAAAGATATGGCTTCTTTTCTAGTTTGAATAAAGGCCTTATATATATAAATCAGTTGCACTGTGATTTGAAAGACCTACAGTGGACTTGCAATGCTCTCTGAGAGGGAAATGCAGAGGAAGAAGAAAAACAATGAAAATTGCTAGCACAATAGTACTCTGTTGTACAAACTGAAGTAACAATGATCCCGGCATGTAAATAATGTGATCTAAAGATAAAAATATAAATGTAATCTTTGGTTCCATTCAAGTTGACTGCTTTTACTTCCTTGCTGTAGAAAAATAGGTGGGTGGGTGGGGGATGCTCTGGTGTGGTTTGCTCCTCCTTTCCTGTCAAACGTCTATCATCCTTATCTCTTCCCTCTTTTTTGTATTAGTTATTCTCTTGTAACACTTCTAATCTTCAAACAGTGCATTGAGAACATATGTATTAGATACAGAAAGTCAGACAGGTTTCTTTGAAATTTTTCTTCAGAGTGGCAGAGTGGGTATTCTCACCACTGGCTCTGAAGGGAAGGAGTATTCTCTCTGGAGATCACTTAAGTGTTTAGGAATTTGTGGTCTAAAGCATGTTTCAGCTAGAATGTACAATAAATAAATGATCTAACTTTCATCTTTGATTGTTTTCAGTGTGGTTGGTCGTGATGTGCTGGGTATATGGCCAGAACACTCTCAAAACGCTGACGTCAACTGCTCTCACCTGTCTCATCTTGGCAATGCTCTCGCCACTGGAGATGACTTTGGTTATGTCAAACTTTTTAACTTCCCATGCCCAGACAGTTTTGTAAGTACACCCATATCATGCTTAGATTTAGCCAACCCACTTCCCTCATCTCATCCCCAGGCAGACAATGTGGGTTGTTGTACAGTGTTGTAGGTTTCAAGTTAGATTATATGTAGAGTCTGTATTTTAAAGACCACATCTTGCTGCAATGGTTGTGCAACTGCAAACATGTCACTAACATATTAAAGTACATTTTAAAAAACTTCCTGAATGAGGCTCAGGTTTTTCCTGCTCTGGTAATGACAAACAGTGAGGATATAACTGTGGCCTGTCAGTTAGCCCTCTTTCCAGCCATATCTGCATTCTCAGACCCTTAATCAAACCCTTTCCTGCTCAAGGTGGTGCAAACGGGCTGATAAAAGATTTACTTGATTTGTCTGGGTTTTTTTTTGTATCTATCACAGATTTCAAGTCTTTCTTTGGTATTCTGCTAAAGGTCCATTCAGAGCTAGTGATATGCTTTTATAAAATCCCATATGACAATTCATATGGTTCACATAGTTGCCCAAATCAGCTAATTTTATGATGCGCACTGTATGTAAGGAAGGCGCATCATCTCGTAAAGTATATATGTGAACTGTCATAAAGAGAGTTTTAAGTATAAAAAACTAGAAAGGAACGCTTATATGAAAGAGTGTCTGTAAGAAGTGAACATGACAGAAGAGTTTTCAATAAAATCATTTTATGACTACGGGATTGAAGAGGGTTAGTTGATTGTTATGTATAACCTGCACTCATTGACAGGCTGAACATAAGAGCTACCCTGGCCACTCTGCCCATGTGACGAATGTACGCTTCCTTTGTGATGACCGCCATCTCGTGAGCACTGGAGGAGATGATTGCTGGTAAGTGACTGTCAGATTTAGCGATTGTGTTACGCTCAAGTCAGTTTTAAAACCGACTTCTTGAAAACTTTTCAGTATGCTAAAACAACCTTAATGATGAGACAAAGCACCTAAGTTACCACACAATATTTTGATATTAGTTGTTGTGCATATTAATAACAACAACAACAATAATAATAATAATAATAATAATAATGATTATTATTATTATGTTTTTGATGATGATGATGATGATAATAATAATAATAATAATAATAATGATGATGGTAAAGATCACTTTTACAGTGCCCACTCCCTGATGGCTCCAGGCATGCTGGCTCTTGATTTTGTTGTTGTTGTTGTTGAGGACCTGCAGAATGAATGACATTGGCAATTACTTTAGAACAAAAGAGAGTTTTCTATTTTCTTCCAGTTACATGGATTGGGCAAAGCACCATTGTTTTATGCAAGGGTATCTTTTTCCTCTGGACAATTTCTGGAATTCTGGAAATCAGGATTATTTTCTTGTTTGTTTATTTATTTGTCCATTTTAGAATGTGAGGACAACTAGATTTGTGCTTACAATTCCAGAAAGTACTAAAAATATTTCTACTCGGCCTACTAAAAGCACTTCAAGTTCCTCTAGTGTGATGCAATGCCTGCTTTTTCATTTCTTGAGAAAACCAAAATAATTGTCATAATGTCATCATTCATAAGATGGCGACTGTTGCTTTATTTCTTTTAAAGCAGAACATCTGCCATGTGAGTCCTCAACATAGGGTTTTTAAAATGAGGTTTAGCACTGGGTCAGATATACTGGATATAATATTTAATATAGTTTTCTCAAGTAGTTGGAATTGAAAATGTTTCAAGCCCCCATCGACACAATTTAGATTGATGAAGAGGCTTCTTTGACCATACCTGTCAGGGCCAACGTGGGCTGAGTAAGATGAAACATCTCAGCAGACTGATAAAGATACCTGATGAAAGAACTTCCCCTTGAGGAAATTTGAACTCATCTTTTCTGTGTTCGATTGTTTAGAGCTTTAAACATTACTCTGCAGACTCTGGTTATTTTCCTCTTTGCTACTTTGCAACTGACAATTAATTGATCTTGCAACGGTTGACATGTTATTTACAGAATGAGAATGAGTTTACATACACAGCTGCTAATGTCATTTGGTCCTCAATATTTATCCCCAGTGTCTTTGTGTGGAAATGTGTGTAGACAAGGCCCTAGCACACCATAGCTGTTCATTCAAGCAAGGTACACGTTGTGAGATTTTTACAGCTGAATAAATGGATGGATGCAGCATTTTGTAAGACAAGACATAATACTGTATGGAATGAAAATGTGGTCATTTAGTTTCTGAATTGTTGTTCGTTTATCCTAACAATACTTTTTCTTTGTTCAGCTTCTCAATGTTTGTAAATGGTCACATTTTGCTCTTAGTTTTGTAATTTTTGTGAAATGTGAGCGGCCTTTGAAATGCTCCCATCAAATAAACCTATTCATAAAAGAACAATACCATTTTAAACAATGTGACTGCATTCCAAGTGCACAAGTTTTACAAGATCTAAAGAATAATTAATCTTTTTTATGTGGTCAAAAAACATTGATTAGACCTATAACTTGAACATTTTATTAACTCTGTCCAATTTATCAGAGAATCTTCATGTTTTACCACACCTCACACTTCATGTTGTTGTGACATTGGTCCCGGATCACATGTCATTTTGGATGTTTTTCCGTCCACGCTCGATGTAATGTTGAGTTTAATTTATTGCACATTACTGTTTCTTTCTTTCCGTCCCCTCGTTCAGTAGATTTATTTCTTTTACATGATTTTTATCGCAAACTGGACAAGAACATTTAAAATGTTTTATTGTATTTTTCTGTATTTTAAAGCAATTTTCAGTGAAGTTTTCTGAAACTTTTAGAGGTACAGTTTATGTATTTTACCCTTTTTTGCCCAAGGAGAAATATTTACTGTTGGTGATGAGCACATGTATGAAAACTTTATCTCATATCTGAGCAATGAGCTCACAATAGTTCTCACTCATTGGGTCACTGTGATTACGCTTTAAAAAAATTTCGTCTGATTTTTGTGAATGTGATACTAAATCTTTGGTTGTGGAATGTAAATGTCTGCAAAAGTTGTCTAGCAAACTCAAAAACAATTTTGTCTTTACATGCCTTACCAGGTGAATATTATTTTTCTACATTAATTGTATGTGATATGCTTGTGATCCATATATATATAACAATCAGTAAATTTAGTACGTGTACATTCCTCATGAACAAGCAAGCACTGCCTATCTGCTGTTCACTAGCCTTAAGTCATTTCTTTGTTTTCGTATTTCATATTGTGTGCATGTCTTGTTTTATAAACTGTGGTATAATTTTGCTTTGATGGGGTTTTTTTCGGGGGTTATTTCTGTGTGTAGCACTTAGATATATTTAGAATAGGAACATTTCAGAATCAGTTTATTCTGTAAACATAAGAACGTTGATGCTGGTACTTTTGTTGCAGTTCATATTGTCAGATTTTCTTTTTATGCCCCCCTCCCCCACCTCCCTTTCCTCAATTCTCCTCCTAAGGACTACAGGGCAGTTAAATAATTTAAGAGTAGGGTCTGAATAATTGTTGTAGACAGCCTTCAAAACTATGTAATTAAAAAATACCGTGATCTATTCAAATTTTTGTCAGTGTTGCATTATTTCATGTACAATCCCTTCTGGTTCTTCAGTATGGGATGTGATTTTCTTTATGGTTATAGTTTAGTTGCAGCTTATTTAGCTTTGTTGTAATCAAACTAGAATTTTAAAGTGTTATGTATAATTTGTTGGCAATCTCCAATGTATTCAAAAAGTGTACGTCATGAAAATTGTTTCATGATGTTTTCATTTTGCTTTATCTTGTTGTATTTGTCTAATTGTTGATGTTGGCTGGAAATAGTTTAGAAATAATTGTGTGTTTTTATTATCATTCCTCAACTCCAAATATATAGAGAATTGTGCGCTATAATTAGCTATAGTTGACTTTTCTCATGTCTTTACATTCCAAATATTTTTTTAATGACCATTCTATCAGTACCAGTGTACCCATTATATTTCATTCCTGTAATACCTAACGTTTGATCTTGTATATTTTAGTCATTCAAGTTTTTATCATTTTATCATATATGCTACTAAAAGATATGTATGGCAATATGTACTTTTTTAGCAGTTTTATCCACCTCTTCGTGGAGAGGATAAAACTTTTTTAGATGGTTGTTGTAAGCTGTTTCCTTTCAAGAGAGGATGAGAGAGCGACAGAGGCAGAGAGAGACAGAGAGAGAGAGAGAGAGACATAGAGAGAGAGAGAGACATAGAGAGAGAAAGACGAAAAGACAGTGATTTTGGTCAATGAAATTATCCTGCCACCAGTTGTGCCTATGAGTTGCCGTTCAGTAAGGTAAAGGGGCATTTGTAGAAAAAAAATGTTGTGAAGGATCGCATATCAAATTCGTGTTCAAACATAGGTCATCATCATTGAATGCTTGCCAGATTCTTAGTTAGTTAGTAATTTGTTTGTGGCCGTTTGTCACTTACTTACAAGTATATTTTAGACCATCGATATTACTTTTTTGTCGTGCCCGTTCACCTCAGAGAAGTACAGGAACAGGAACAGAACATGAGTTATCTCCAGAGGGTTGTTTTAAGAAAAAAAACCTACTTTGATGTTGTTGAAGCAAAAATACCCAGCTTCAAGATCAAGCATCCATGGAGATGGCTGAGCACCAACAGAGAAATTAATTCTCTACATATCTCCTATATAAGAGCTAGTGACTGGGGTCAAATCTTGAGTTGAGCACCCATCGAAAGAGAAAATATATCGGCACTTTTTCTCTTGACCTTAATACATGTAAGACATATCTAAAGAATTGTTATTATGACTATTGATTTAGAGTATTTAAACTCCTTAGGTAAACTACTTGAAGAAATTGTACTTTAAGTATTTAATATTTTTAATAAAAATCATATACCAACATATTTTTCTTTATGAAATTCATTTCTTTCACTGCATGATCATGAATCATAGCAAAAATCTTTTGTTTTCAAGAATGTTAACTGAAATATTTAAGTTAAGGGCTGAATGTATGTACTGGACTTAGCATTGATGCTCCTTACCATCTTATGAAAGGTACAGGAAGAGGCTACATATCGATGGTGTTGCGCTTCAACTCTAATCATGTGACTGGTTTCTTGAACATTTTTCAACTCACAATTAAAAACCTTTTTAATTTAAATGATAAGAGAAGACACAAAAAATACCCCAACATACTTTTAAACTTGTTGCAGAGCATGCTGACTCCTTGATTTTTATTGAGGACCCACTGTTTGATTTTGGCAATAGTTATAGAACAAAAAAGAGTTGACTTATTTCTACCAGTAGTTAGAGCAAAACACCATCGATATAAAAGCTTTCCTGCTCGGCTGATGGTATGTTGCCCATTTACACTCAAGCTCTGGGCCTGTTGTTTTGAGGTTTGTGAGTTCACTCTGTCTCCCATAACTTTTTTATTTATGAATATTTCCTAATGAATTTCTGCATGTGCATTTTACATTGAACCACATTTCTATTGATATGATCTTGGGGGGATTTCATTAAGAGATAGATGGAGAAAAGTAGGAGTTACTAACATGATGTCAAAAACAACACCACCGAACAACATAAACAACACTCATTAGAGTAATGATAAACTGATATTTAAAAAAAGGGAATACATGTTGTGTGAGTGTTTGCAGGTAAAGAGGAAGTGACAAGAGACTTTTCCTACCTTATACAACGCTCGTACAATCCATATATGGTCGCTTTTAATCACAAGGGGGCTATCCCGAAAAATGCTGTTTTGAGAAAATCCAAGGTAAAGTTTTTGCCCCTTATTCAGTTTCTTTAAAAGACAAGGATAGTTTTCTCTATGACCAAACAAATATACACACCAACGAAACCAAACTTCTCCTCCTGCAGGTAGGGCAAAGCCCACTTTTGGTGTAGGTCAAGATTTCTGGAAATCCCCGAAATTCGGATTAGCCTGCTTGTCCTTAAGAGCGACCATATATACATGTAAGCCTACTAGTAAATAATTTTTGTGCGGTAGATGTGTAGATCTATATATAATCTTCTCTTCGAGAGCTAAAATCTGAATCTGACGCTTTTGAATGGGGGGCAACATGGAGGTAAACATAAAGGGAAGGTAGGCCTACCTCAAAAATATTTACAAGATTTTAGCAGTAACTTTGCTTATAATTGGTGTCAAAACAACCTCGGTCACAGTCTCGTAAATTCTACAGGCCATAGGCACACAACTAAATACACGGTTCAGGCCCGTAAATTCTACAGGCACGCAGCGAAGAGGTTAAACTAGCTGGTCTACTTTTTTTTCCTTTTTGTGCAGAATTTGGGAGGCAGCGTGGTGAAATCAGGCGCTCGTCAAAATATTGAAAATAAAAAAAACTGGCATTTTTCCGCAGGTTGGGGAATTTTTATCGAATTTTTGTTTTTTGGCTCAACACCTTTCATGCCCATTGAAGAACACATTTCAGTGTGTAATTTACTAAAATATGTTGATTAAAGGCATAAAACATGTAAATTTTCAGTTTCCACGGACTCTCAAGCTAAGGGAATAACTCAACTTTGGCGGCCATTTTCTCGCTCATTTTACCTTTGAAACCAGGCGACCCACACCTCCTTCAATCACCAATATCTTGACTTGTATCCAAAATAAACGGATATTTTTGTATCAAAAGAAATGCAAATGAACAAGTTTAAGATAATACCAGTAACCCCATATATGCTCAAAAATTGACGAGCGCCTGGGTCCACCGCGTTGCAGCACATTTGCATTTTTCCAGCATAGCTAGACCAGTATTTTGAAAAAAATTCTTATCTTTAACTTTGGCAAACAAATAAAAAAAACGGTACTATTTAAAAACCACTGAAATGTTGTGTCGAGACTAATGTGACAAGCACCATTTCTTTCATGCAACATGGCATGTAAGACCAACATCTTCCCACTTTCTCAAGTGACATGAAAAAATGTTCCACAAATGCCTGCTAAATGCTGGGCTCAGTTTCGAGAAATCTAAAATATATGGTTATGGACTTCTTCTATTGAATGTTGGCATATCGTCGCCTCAGAACTATTTTGTCCAAAGTGCCTAAGTACACTTTGGACAAAATAGTTCTGAGGTGACAATATATATATATATATACATTGAATACACACACTGGCTTTCTAATGGTAAAACTTGGGTAATGACATGCAGAACATCACCAATAAAATGGACTGGCAAAGCCATTCATTGTCTCCATTAAATGTGAAGGGATCTGTAGTCGTAAAAATATTGAGCAGCTATCCATGTTTTGGAATTGAGGAATTTAAATAATATGCTCCTCTTAGCAGATGGTCAGTCGAAGAACTTAGAATGGAAAACCACTGATAGTGTTTGACTTTCATAAATTTACCTAACAATTCTATGATCACTTGTGAAATATATATGTGTCACAATGAGGTGGAATCAGGTGCTCATCAATTTTGGGGTATGTGGAGTTATTGGTTTCATCTTGGAACTTGTTCATTTCTCTATCATTCGATAAAAAACTACTTATCTATCTTGAATGAAAGTCCAGTTACTTGCCATTGAAGGATTTTGGGGTGGACTAGTTTCAGAGATATGATTAGTGAGAAAATTACCACCAAAGTTTGGTTAAAAGCTTGAGAGTCCTTTGAAAGTGGACATTTATATTTTTGTGTGTCTTTAACTGACATTTTTCCAGTAAAATCCACACATAAATTATGTGTTTTTAAATGGACATAAAAGATGATAAGTCAAAAATAAAAAATTCCATAAAACTTACCACACCAGTGGACAATATCTTGGACTTTTATTTCATTATTTTGAGGAGCATCTGATTTCAACATGATGCCTCACATATTTTTTTTCCTGTATGAAAATTTGCAACAGGAATATCAAACTTTCAAGTTCGTGTTGCTGTTTGTACCTTTATCATGACTCGTTTCTATCTCCGAAGAGGTAACATACAAATCTGATTAGAGTGGGCCCCACTTATAACAGTCTCAGTTATAGCAGGATTTTGGCTATAGTTGGCTTATAATAAATCCCCCAGCCCAGTAAAAAAAGTTTTTTGTAACTGGCATTTTGAATAAAATATTTTCAGCTGTAGCAGTGGCCCAACTTTTGACAAAATCCTAAAACAATGAACAAGAAAGAAGAAAACAGTAAATGAAGCAAAACAACATTCATGGGGAATTGTACCTACATGAACCACAACAGGTCTAAGTTGATTATGATGTGCCATACACGTAAACCAGGGAGGGAGGGGGACAGCTGGATGTACTTTGGAGTTGATCCAGATGTTCCAGTTAGAGATTTGAGTGTCTTAGCATGACATAAGTTGGACACCACATCGTCTCCCAATGATTCTTGTCTGGCGTGTGGCACAAGTCCTGACGACCTGCAGCACTCACTGTATGAGTGCCCGCAGGGGCATGCACATTGAGGCCCGCTTATGGAGAACAACGCGAGACCGGACCGGGACGTACTCTGGACGAGGCCACATGAGGTTGCCTCCTACCTGTCTGCCTGCGGCAGACTGCCGCCCTCCGAATGGGGGCTGGCCAGAGGAAGGAAAGGAAGCAAGAAACATCACATCATCACATTGTCCCCCTGTGGGTTGGCGAGACATCTAACAGGAACGTTATTGGATGAAAATGAAAAGCGGGCACTGGATGCTTGATCTACTGCAAATCTATATATGTGTGTTCCTTTTTCCAACTGCGGTAACTGTTTTATTACAAATACATGTTGTTGTAAAGCGCACAGAGCATGCTGTAGGGAATGGTGTGTGTTAAATAAATGCAACTATCATTTTCATTAGACTAGACTACATCCTGTACATCTCATATGATGTCTTGTCTACCTCCATGAGACTAAGGTAATTGAAAGAGAAAGATAAATATAAGAAGCAAAAAATATCAGTATTTTGAAAGGAGAAATACATATAACAGACAAATTGATAGTGGGTAATCTATGTAATTAAAGTGATCCCATTTGTAAATCATTAATTACAATCTATATAAATGTGATCCTGCGCTATAACAGGGTTCAGCTATAACAAGGATATCTCGTCGGCCCCGATGGTCCTAAGATGTTATAGCTGGGGCCCACTGTAGTTTGATTTTACATTTTACAATTCTTTTACTAGAGACTTAATTTCATCATTTTTCCTAGTGGTATGAAACATGCAAATTGCTTCATTCTGAGATTGTACTCTCTATCTTATGATGATTTCGTCAACAGTAAAACTTGACAAACATATTTGACATGACAACAGGAACATGACAATTTTCAAAATGAATTTATTTTTCAGAACAGATTTTGGCTGAGTGGGCAGCAGTATCATAACATGCTCATATTGCAGTAAAGAAAAAAAAAAAGCAAACAATTGACATGAAAACTCAATTTCAATAAGTGGATAGATAAAAGCAGCAAATAAAATTTGAGCAACTTGTCAATATTGACATTATGGTTTTTGTGGATATATAGACTGATCACAGCTCAGGAGACATTTGAAGGGGTTGCCAGAATTACAAAGTATAAGATTTAGATGCATTAGATCTATTTTGAATTACTTGGTTTTCATTGAAAGTGAGGATTGAGTGATGGTTTTGTGACTAGTTCAAAGACCATGTAACCAAACTTTCAATAAAGTATTTATTTACATACCGGTGTATTATGTCTAACATTTCATTACAATTGGCACAGGACTTTGTTCAAGACAATACTAATACAGACTGATAGTCTAATGACCCTAAGGGCAAACAGTAATAAACTAAGGCGCATCAACTATCAGTTTTCAGCAGCTATTGTTGATTTAAATCACAGGTAACAAGTAGTTTCATCATCTGTTTTGACAAGTAGCTTTGTTTATATTATATACACAAAAAAACTGATTGTCTGAAATTCT